TTGTGACTCTACTTTCAGCAGTCGATTTCATATCACGACTCGTGGACAATTCTTTAGAGATATGTTGAGTAATTTTGTTTGTATATATGTATATATAATAATAAGAAGAATGATGAATAGTACACGTTTACGCATTGCAATAACCACTTTTATTTGTCAATAAATAAATAGTATTGAGAACATTGATGCAAGAGTGCATGACACTTACAGAGGGCTGCTTACACGCGCGCAAGGTAATGTATATTCATATTGCATCCTGCGCACACTAAAGAGATTCATGCCGCCTGTTCTACACGTGACGGCACATGCTCGAAGTCGCTACGGAACTTATCGACCACTTTACATCGTGTGCGGGGAGCGATGTTCGCGAAGGGTGAGCGGAGAGACGGGTTAACGTCCGGTCAGTTTAACACGTTAGGCAAGCTTTCGCGACCAATATTATTCACCTTCTTGGTTCTATCGGTAAAGTCACGTAGAATGGAAATAATAAAATAATAAAAATAAAACATAATACAATTATATAATATAATAAAGTAATATAATAAAGCAATGTAATAATATAATTATTTTTTATTATTTTATTATTTCCATTCTACGTGACTTTACCGAAAGAACCAATAAGATGAATCCCTGCAGTCACGAAAGCTTTAAATCGAAATTTATTCACAATAAAGTTTTTTTTGGGGGGAGGGGTTAGATCGCGAAAGTAAAAAATGTTGTGTCGTAACCCTCCACCACCCGACACAGCCAATTATCAAGGTATTTGTCACGTAAACAAAAGTTGCCAATTAGTAAATCCACAACGTTTATACTTACGCGATCTAAGCCGAAGAATCCTTTACGTATGGGTAACGTCCTGTGCGATCTCATGTCAGATGAAGGGTGACGTACGGCACCGCAAAGACGGTTCAAGTCCGCACCCGTTCTAGCCGCACCTCGCACGCGTTCATGCTCATCTCATAGCGTTGCCCGCTTGGCAGTGACGAGGTGTAAATTATACATCTAAATGCTGTGTGGGGGGATTGTTCTACAGTGTGCAGGTGTGAGCTGATACAATGATACAACTATTTAGGCGGGCGGTGGTGGTGGTGGATGATGATGATGATTGGCAGAGATGCACACGGACAATGAACGACAACCATAACACATTCATCAACAACACTGTGTGGCCGAAGATCGAACCAATATATTTTAGGTGATGTATTGGACAATGGCCCTCCTTCCTGATTTGCTGGTAAGATGACGAAAAAAGTTACGTTTTTTTTAAAAATTCGTATTTATTTTCAAGTTTCTTTGTTTAACGTCGTGTTGTGTCATTTGTTGTTGTAAAGTTCTTACCACGTGCCCTTAACTGGACACCTGTGAAACAAAGAGTTTTAAAGCTCATCGGATTCCTCCAGTATAAATAAATATTCAAGATTTTGAAAAGATTATTTTGGTAAAGATTCTATCCATAGCTTGCGTGCACCAGCACATAGCAGGTTTTGTTTTGTTTTTAAACATTACACTCGCACTCTTTTTGACTCGCGTCTCTATTGTTCAGTCGTTGCGATATCCCTTCAGTATCCCCTGCTGTACTCCCTCTCTGCAACATTAACGTTGTTGTTGTTTACACCATTGGAACCTCAGTTTGCCAGTAAAAAAATATGATAATTGTTTTTTTACCCTTTTATATGGCAACAAAACTGACACCTTTGTGAGACTAGGCTCTAAGGAAAGCTGTCTCGGGTGTGGAACAATCAACTTCAAGGACAGTGCATACATTTCGATTTCAAGCTTTCGTGACTGCAGGGATTCATCTTCTTGGTTCTTTCGGTAAAGTCACATAGAATGGAAATAATAAAATAATAAAAAGACAACATAATTAAATAATTCTTGCGACGTTTCGGCCACAACCGAAAGAATTATGTTTTTTGTTTGCATTATGACTGCAGGTATTGTGGTCTATGCAAACATGACTCCTTGTAAAAAAAGGTGTCAGTTTTGTTGCCAGATAAAAGGGTAAAAAAACAATTATCGTTGTTGTAGTTGTTGTTTTGGCTGTGCTCACGCGGTACCCACGAAATCCCCGCGTAATATAGCCGAGCAAACGACTGAACGAGATCATCGACCGTGTGCGCAAATAAAAAAAAAACTTACATTTAAAAAACAAAACCGGCCATTGAAGGGACGATTGCCCGAACCGTCGGCTAATTACATTCATTTCATTTTGTCAGGCCGCGGTGCTGTTGACGACGCTGTAGAGTTGCATCGACACCATGACGATAATTGGCTGCGTCGTTGGGTGGTGGAGGGGCTCCCAACAACACACACATTTGGTCAGATCCATTTACATCGCCGATATCCATCCCTCCCTCCCTCCCTCACTCCCCCCCCCCAAATAAAAAATTATATTATACATTTGAAAACATTCAAGTATGTTGCTTTGAATCCGTGGGCCGTTCGTAAACAAAAATGACAACTCTGTTTACACACACACACAACACAAAGACAACGTTTCCCTACCCCTCCATCACCACCACCCCGTGTGGCATTAACAGGCCGTTTGGGGCAAGTGCTGTTACATATTTGAGACCAGAAGTTGCATAGCTTCGTTGACAGTGGGGGGAAAAAAGAATGTAAAAATGTTTATTCTGAATTGGCGCGTCTAAGTTCTAGATTTGAAGTTTTCGTGACTGCAAGAATTCATGCTCTTTTGTTGATTCGGCGTGAAAACCAGCGTGGCGTTTTATTTCTTTTTATACTTTATCGCAACGGAGTTCAAGTTGCCCCGGGGGTTTTTTTGTTTGTTTAAGAAACACATCCAGTCACGATGACACAACTTTTGGGCCGAATGTCATCGGTTCTTTGCCCGCTTGGGTTAAGTGTGCAGAGGGAGCTTGCGGGCTAGGGTGATCTTCTGTCGCGATACAACGAGCACGCAGATAAGGGGATTTGTTCAGAAAAACCGAAAGGAAGCAACTTCGGCGCAATCGCCCGGACGCATCTTCTCAGATTAATATTTCTCAATATTTCACAAGAGCGATCGTCTCCAGAATAAGGCAGCCTCAGACCGGTTTGAACTTAAAACTCTTTAAGCTAGATTTAAAAAAAAAGGATTTTACCGGGCAAGGGCCCACTCAGTTTTGTCGCTTTTTTTCAGAAGCGACCTGGCCACAAATGATAGCCCAACGAAGTGGCCTTATCATCATCGTGTGGAAATTTATAGGAACCGAATACTCCAACGGCACGTTTCTTGATGTGGATGGAAAACCCGGACGACCCGGAGCGAGAGAGACACGCAAACTCCAAATGTACAGCAGCGGGCCTCAGGGTCGGGATCGAACCCACGACCTCCTGTATACCAGACGAGGTAGTTAACGTTTCAACACCGTGGCTTCTTAAGCGGGACCTGCCAGCAGTCTGGAGGCTTCTGTAACAAACGCAGCGGCAGCCGAAGCAATCCATTCACCCTGCTCCGTTTGTGTCACCAGAGTTTTGTTTTTGTTTAAATCGCCCGCGTTGTGAAACTCGCTTTCAGTTTTACAAAGAAAACTCACCTCATCTGCGTTTGATCGGATCGCGCGCCTTTACGAACAATGCTTTAATATCGATGTTATAGTATCGATACAATAAGAACATCGTTGGACCAGCTGTTGTTGGACATTATTCTGTGTCCCATGTGTTGAAGCTGCAAATGCAACAGAAGACACCGCTTCACAATGTTTATGAATCTTGATTTGAAACTTTCGTGATTCTTTCGGTGAATTCACGTAAGTAGTTTATACCTACGTGACGTTACCGAAAGAACCAAAGACTAATGTTTATGAAACAGCCACGGAATGAATGGTTGGCTCCCCGCATAGGTTTTTTGGTTTGTTAAATATAATGCTTTTAAAATATAAAATACAATACTGACGACTCGTTTGGGGAGCGCACACGCTGAGCGCGTGTCGACGATGAGAGCCGTTTGGTCACGCACGGCGGGTAAGGAGTTCGACATACATAACACACGCACGCGTGCATTCCAGTCGTCGAAACGAGACACACGTTCACGTCATAAATACAGACAATCAAAGCCGTTGACCATTGTACACATCAACAGCAAGCGGCGGGGACTTCGTCCGCAATTATATACGGCCGAGTTGAGAATGCAGATCTATAAATACCGTCACGTCGAAACGTAATTGCACATATCGTTGCCTTTGCCGTGAAATTCATGAACATGTCGACTCGTGGTCAGAGATGCTGGGACGATGGGGGCGCGGGAGGCGGGGGGGGGAGGTTCGTGGGAATGGGGGGGGGAGACATTGAGATGATTGGCACAAACAAAACTATAAAAAAACAATACAAACAAATTTGACTTTAAACTAAACTAAACTTCTAAACAATGTTTTTGCATTTTACCAAGTAAGGTGCACTGAGCTATACTACGTCTCTTTTTCAGAAGCTCCCTGGCTATCGACAAATGACAGCTCGAAGCGGTGACTTAAACGCGTGGAAATGTATCGCAGCCAAAAACCATGAGCCTTGAATTTCGATTTAAAGGTTTCGTGACTGCAGGGATTCATCTTCTTGGTTCTTTCGGTAAAGTCACGTAGAAGGGAAATAATAAAATAATACAAATAAAACATAATAAAATAATTCTCAAGACGTTTCGGCCACAACGCAAGCAGCCGTCAGGTGAAGAACAGGTCTGTCAGAAAGACAGCGTCTGTCTTTCCGACAGCCCTGTTCTTCAGCTGTCTTTCCGACAGCCCTGTTCTTCAGCTGTCTTTCCGACAGACCTGTTCTTCAGCTGTCTTTCCGACAGCCCTGTTCTTCAGCTGTCTTTCCGACAGCCCTGTTCTTCAGCTGTCTTTCCGACAGACCTGTTCTTCAGCTGTCTTTCCGACAGCCCTGTTCTTCAGCTGTCTTTCCGACAGACCTGTTCTTCACCTGAGGACGGCTGCTTGCGTTGTGGCCGAAACGTCGTGAGAATTATTTTATTATGTTTTATTTGTATTATTTTATTATTTCCCTTCTACGTGACTTTACCGAAAGAACCAAGAAGACCATAGGCCTTGTTGACAGACGTCGCTCCCCAGAGCAGGACCCTGTCACCACAAAGACTCTCCCAGCCTCAGCTCTTCTGCTCGAAGCTGGGGTAAGGGGCTAGAGGAGGCTTCTTAAGCGTGGCCCCAAAGATCTGGAATGCCTCGCCGGCGGTGATCCGGCACACCCAACGAGAGCCTCGGCGCGTTTGGGAGGGATTGCAAGACTTGTTTCTCGTGGCTTTTACTTAAACATGATTTTCATTGTGCTTGCTTTTTATTTAATCGTGAAATGTTTTGATACCCCCCCCCCCTCCCTGGAGTGGAGGTGATGTTACATTTAAAATAAATACGGTTTATGGTTTAAATGCGTTGGGAAAAACCGGAGGACCCGGAGAAAAATCCACATGACCATGGGGAGAGCACGCAAACCCCAAATATACAGGCGCCACGGTCGGCATTGAAACCCGCGACCGCCCGTATAACAGGCGAGGTAGTTAACATCTCGCCACAAACTACATGGTATCGATGCGAGCAGCAAACGTAACACGGAACTCTAAAGGACTGATGACAAACATCGTCCGTTGGGGCTCGCAAGAGGTGGGTCGAACCGCGCCATCCCAGCATGCATTGCGCTCACGAGAAGAGCCTTGTGAGCAATAGATAGGGGCGTGCAAAGCGTTCCGTAAATACGTTCGCCCTCTTTCTGTTTAGAGTTCGGGGTTTTTTGTTGTTGTTTTGTTCCAGAGCAGAAATGGGCAAATGTGAGAAGAGAGAAAAAAAGAAGCACAACGATTTGGCCCACGAGGTTAAAAACGTTGCAATCACAAGGGAGACGGTTCACAGCCTCGCGAGAACTACTTTCCGTATAAATGCACCAGTTTTGGTTTTCGTATAAAGTGCGTCGAACAAAAACAAAATCGTCGAGAGAAAATGCCCGCTAAATTATCGCAGGAGGATTGGGGCATTTTAGGGATACATTTTTTTGGGGGGGAGAGTGGGGGGTGGAATTGAGATTCCTTCGGCTAAACGGAACAAACGACAATGCAACTGGCACAGCCGCTTGCATCTGAAGGGCCTCAACTCTCTCTCTGCTCAACTTCGCACGGAGCCACTTTCGAACCAATTGACGATGACTTGATGCACATTTGTTTTCGGGCTGGGCCACGTGGTGCTAATTTGTACGCCAAAATGTTTTGCCACTCACCATCTGCCACCCGGAGGGAAAAATAGAAAAGGATCATTATTATTTATACGTTCTAGATGTGAAGCTTTCGTGACTGCAAGGATTCGTTTTTTTTTACTTACGTGACTTTACCGAAAAAAACCTAAGAGTATTATTTATACGTGCCAGCGTCTCGATCAACTTCTGACCGATACAGCTCCTCCCCCTCCTCACACCGGTGATGGCTTCAGCCTTGCCTCGAGTGTGTTTTTCACATCAGCGTGTGGCGACATTTCGCTCAAACCCGAGCTTTCTGTGCGTACCGAGTGCCGGCTGCTACAGCTGAAAAGCGTCGCTAAACCCAGAGTCATCGCCAACACCCGAGGCTCAGAAAGGACGGGAAATAATCCTAAAGTCAGACGGTGGAATAATCTAAAAGTGAACCGTGAATGTCAGATGTCCCGGTGTGACATTTTCGCGATCCGGCAGTGGCAACTGCTCGTGCCTCACAGCAAAAAGGGCCTGGGTTCAATTCCCACTGCGGGCACATTTCTGCGTGGAGTTTGTATGTTCTACACCTGTTAGCACAGTGGGTTACCTCCGGGATGTTGGGTTTCTCCCGTGCATAAGTTGCAATGGTTGCACCGTGCTGATTTGGCCTAATGATCCCAATGTTCAGGACTTATTCTTACAAAGTGCCAAATTGGGATCACACAGTATTTGGATTGTCAACCGACATCGGGTAAAAAATCAACAAGATGCGCCAATCTTCTTGGTTCTTTCGGTAAAGTCACGTAGAAGGGAAGTAATAAAATAATAAAAATGAAACATAATAAAATAATTCTCACGACGTTTCGGCCACAACGCAAGCAGCCGCCCTCAGGTGAAGACCAGGTCTGTCGGGGAGACAGCGTCTGTCTTACTTCCCTTCTACGTGACTTTACCGAAAGAACCAAGAAGATGAATCCCTGCAGTCATGAAAGCTTTAAATCGAAATTTAAGTTGCGCCAGCTGTTCTCTTTTAGCCCCCCCCCAACACGTTTCACTCATTGGCTTCCACATTCAGATAAGCCCCTCCCCCTTTAAACTTGTATTTAAGAGCTTGTCTCTTGGAATTTTGCCTCACTTGAGACAGCAAATCTGGCTGTGACGGTCCCACCTGATGACGGAGACTTGTGTTGCCTCCGAAACGTCGTGATTTATTATTTTATTTCTATTATTATTTCAATTATATTTTTTTTTTACCTACGTGACTTTGCCGAAAAGCTTAAGAGTATGGGATCACACAGTTAGCAGCGGCATCACTTCCTGACTAAAGGCAGGAATCCCTGGAAAAAGTAGGCTTCCGTGGAGATACAAGCGGAATCAAAATCATTATAATAATAAATTATGAGCATTGCCTATCTTATCGGCGTCAAATTTCCAACATTCCACCGAACTCTTTATTTAGCGATAGAAAAACAAAAAAAAACAATCGTTTAACCTCTCGGCTTAATGCTGGGAGGTGAACTATCGTACGACTGTGGCTGAAATTTGAACAAAAAATGAAAAGAGTTACTGAGAGGGCCTTCGAGTGACGTCTATCGTTCCGGCAAAAGTCCAACACTGAGACTTCTGGAGACGCGGCGAATGATTTTTTTTTTTATGGGGAATGCCGAAAGACAGAATCTCCACTGGAGGACGACAGCTTCGTACGAACGAGATCAAGTGGCAACGAAGAAGGAATATTTAATTTGGCATCGCGGCTTTTGGTATTTCCGAGTTTACACGCACACACGCATACGCTGTTTATATAAATAATAATAATAATACGCACTTCTCCGATTATTACGAGGAGGCCCACGACACGGCGCTGATGAAGACGATTAAATAATGACGATGCCTGATTGATGACGACGACGACGATGACGATGACCACGAGGCTGTCACTATCGCTGCTTGCCCACGAGGACGACCACGTCTGGCGTGACAAGCTGGCACGGAAGAGGTGAGAGCGGCAGAACTGCGGCAGGCAGCCGGAAAAGCGGTGGCGCTTTCCCGGAAGGGAGGAGTAGGGAGATCCTCGCTCTTAGGCGCCGTGCTCTCCGCGAAAGTCCGGTGACTCCTCGGACCCGAACGCGTCCTCCCAGGACGACGAGGAGGACGAGGCGGCGAGGTCCCCTGACGGGGCCACCTCATCCAGACCAATCGCACCGCCCATCCAGTCGTGGAACGCCGCGCCCGCGGGAAGGCCCCGTCGTGCCGTGTTCAGGTGGCCCATGACGCTCTTGAGCCACAGCTGACGTTGACGCGCGTACAGGTTGTGCGCCTTGTCGTTCATCAGCTGCTTCTCGGTCACCGAGCGACGTCTGCGGAGTAGATTGAGAAGGGGGTGGTGGGGAGTTAATGCGTGAAAAAATTATAATGGAGACGATGGGAAAAAAGTGCAGGGGTGGCGGCGGGGAGGGGGGAGAGGGAGTGATCTTGCAAATGTTAAATCCCTCGGCTGGTGTACAGGACGTCGTGGGCACGAATGATAGCTCAATAAAGTGGATTATGATGTGAAAATGCACAGCAGCCAAACGCTCTAAACGCGCGTTGTTGATTCTGAATGTGGAGGGGCAAACCGGAGGGCCAGGAGAGTAAATCCACATAATCACAGGGAGAGAGCGAGAGACACGCAGACTCCAAGAGACACGCAGACTCCAAATATACAGCAGCAGGCGTCAGGGTCGGGATCGAACTCGTGGCCTGCTGTATACTAGGCGAGTTAGTTAACATCTCAGTTTAATATGTCGGCTTTCGCGACCAGTATTATCCATAATATAGTGTTTTGGGGTTAGATCGCGTGAACATTAATGTGTCGTTAAACCCGCCACCACCCGACACGGCCAATAAGCAAGGTTTGTCACGTGAACAAAACTTGCCAATTCGTTACTAGTACAGCACACCGGTGTGTTGGAGAGTAATCCCACAACGCTTACAATTCCGAGTTCCTTTCAATAAATAAACAAGCAGACACCTATTTATTGCCAGGCCTATTCTAATTTTTTCATTTCGATACCGGCAAGAAAAGGGTTCCCACAGACAATGTATCTTGATACTAACGAAAGAGGGGGGGGGGTGAGAGGGGGGTCCCAGGCAGAGGTCGAAAACGGGTTTTGATTCCTTACCCGTACCCGTACCCGGCCACACCAGGGTCGCAAACGGCTACCCGTACCCGGCCGGGTACAGGTAGCCGGGTATCGGGTAGGGTACGGGTATCGGGTACCCGGTTGCGACCTCTGGTCCCAGGGCATTAACGCGTGGACCCATCCCGTTACATCCGATCCCACGTGGGTGCCCCCGCCCGCCTGCACCTTTGCACGCGTCGCACTCCGCTCGCTCGACCGCCTCTGCTGCTCCTGCTGCTGCTGCTGCTCCTGCTGCTGCTTCTCTCCTCCTCCGCCCGCTCACCAAGCCGCCACATCAGCACGAGGCCCGTCGGATTGAAGGAGACCGGCGCTGACGACGACGACGACCCGGGGCCGGCCCGGACAGACGACTCGTGCGTGGCGAGTCGAGCCGCCGCCTCCTCCTCCTCGATGTCGCCGCAGGGCCCCACAGCGGACCGCGGCCCCGTGACCCCCCTCGGCAAGCCGACGGGGGTCGCGCCGGACAGGTGAGCGACCAGAGACAGCAGCCACAGCAGGAGAAGCGAGTTGCGTCCCATCTGCGGCAACGGCGGCAAAAAAATTAAATTAAATTTAGTTTTGTTGTTGACGCGGCTTACCGAGCTAGCGGCGACATCCCAACGCACGGTGAGGTTGTTGACGCGGAGAAAAATCCACGCGACCACGGGGAGAGAGAGAGACACAGAGAGAGAGACAGAGAGAGAGAGACTTTTAAAACAGTTTTATTGCTGCAGCAGAAATTGCTCCGCAGCCACTTTGATTCGAAGTCATCGACAATAAGTTCAGTTTCATCATCATTGCTAAACAAACGTGGCACATACGCCAGAGAGAGACACCGCAAACTCCAAATCTACAGCAGCAGGCGTCAGGGTCGTGATCGAACCCACGACCTCCTGTATACCAGGCGAGGTAGTTAACATCTCCTAGCCACCGTGATAATGATGAGAGAGAGAGAGAGACACGCAAACTACAAATATACAACGATGAGGGTCGTGATCTAACCCACGACCTCCTGTATACCAGGCGAGGTAGTTAACATCTCACTACCGTGATGATGATGAGAGACAACGCAAACTCCAAATATACAGCGATGAGGGTCGTGATCTAACCCACGACCTCCTGTATACCAGGCGAGGTAGTTAACATCTCGTCACATACTTGCGTGACCCTTACGTTGTTGCATCAATGTGTCCCGACACGACCCTTCGAGGTGGGCATGCAACAGTCGGCACTGCGAGCACGACTCCCCGCACCCAAAATATTTAACGAGTTAAAAAAAAAACCCTAACCTACACTTCCACTTTGCTCGCTTTCGGGATGATGGGGACTCAGCCTCTGCCGGCCCTCCACGACTACAACCCTTGCCGCACGAGCTATCCGAAGAAGGGGCCACGCGAAACGTTGCCCCGATGTGTGTGGGGCAGTGGTTCGTGCCACGTGGCGAGATTTTTGTTTTTTGAAGGTGAATCATCGAAAACACAAATTAGGCACGGACACGTTTAGTACAACTTACATTGTTTCACTATGAGACCTCCTTTACCAGTGGCAAAATATAGTAGTAGGTTTTTACCCTTTAAACTGGTACAAAACTGACACCTTTATACAAGGCGCCTTGTATAAAGGTGTCAGTTTTGTACCAGTTTAAAGGGTACCTGTATAAAGGTGTCAGTTTTGTACCAGTTTAAAGGGTAAAAACCTACTACTATTACATTATTTCATCAACCCCCTACGTATTTATTATCATTGTCCACTTTTTGTTTACGAGTGAGAATCAAAGGGGGTGCAGGCCGCAGTACAGGTCAAGAACCACTGCTCTACGGCGAGAGTGCACGGTCATTAAAGCCGGGGTCCTATACGGTGGAGTGAGACGACACCAATCATCGATAAAGGTTCAGCCCCTGCAAGTGCTTAATCAAACTCTCTCTCTCTGTCTCCTGGCATGGAAGCGTATCCGTGAGTTTAGGTCAACTCGGCCTCAAAATGAGTTCCTGGTGCGATGTGCAGACGTCGCCGCTTAGGGAGACAAAGGCGGCCGTGGTGCTGGACACACCCGCTCCCCAGCTCCCTCCCCCCGTGAGCCGTGCCCTGGCCTTCATGAAGCGCCGCTCGCTAACGACGCTCCACGCAGACTGACTGCACGAAGTCGACACGGGGGTCGTCGTTATCGTCGTCTTGGCATTGGCAGGGGCCGCTCCGAGGCGAGGGGTTAGGATGGTGATGATGGCGGTGGTGATGGCGGTGGTGATGGTGTATGTTGAACTTCTTTCGCACCGTACATATCCAACGGTGCTATGATGGTGATGATGGCGGTGATGATGATGATGACGGTGATGGTGATAATGGTGGTGATGATGATAGTGTTGGTGATGATGGCGATGATGGAGGTGATTGTGATGATGCTGACGATGATAGTGTTGATGGAGGTGATGATGATGGAGGTGATGGTGGAGGTGATGGTGGAGGTGATGGTGCTGATGATGATGGCGGTGATGATGGCGGTGATGATGGTGGAGGTGATGATGGAGGTGATAGTGATGATGCTGACGATGATGGTGTTGATGGAGGTGATGATGGAGGTGATGATGGCGGTGATGGAGGTGATGATGGAGGTGACGGTGATGATGCTGACGATGATGGTGTTGATGGAGGTGATGATCGAGGTGATGATGGAGGTGATGATGGAGGTGACGGTGATGATGCTGATGATGCTGATGATGGTAGACGCACGATAGAAGTGGGACACGAGGCGACACTCAGTCGGAAATACGCAACACAAATCGTCCTTCACATCAGAAGGTCTATTTCCAGAAACGTCGCCTATTATATAAATAAATTGTATACAACGTGTATGTGTGTATATACTATACGCACATATATAAAAGCCTCAACAAGTGATTTCCTGTTCAAGTAAATATCAATCAGGTAGGGGCGCTCAGCTCCGCTGTGTCGCCCTGAGGCAGTGGTGGAAATTCCACATTACTTTGGCGGGGGCGACTCTTCCTTGTCACAAAGTGGCGAGGAATGTACAGCAGGCTTCGTTCATTGCCCAACAGAGTCGCCAAAGACACGCACACAAAGGCAAATGTCCCCCGTATAGGCTGTAACAGACTTGGGGGGCAAGTGCTGTTTGCGAGTTGTACCTACGAAGACCGGCACGGCACACGAGGGGGTGGGTGGCCAGCACCACGCCCGGCCGCCTTTGTCTCCCAAGCGGCGATGTTTGCACACCGCCGCGTATACGCATTTGAGGCTGAGTCGACCTAGGAGAGGCCCAGAACCTGCTCAGATAATCGCCGCTGGTGTTGGCCGTGAGCGGGAATCGAACTCGGGACGCCGGCTTCGTAGCGCGGCGTAGCGCTAACCGCTCCACCACCGCTCCCCACTATACATTTTATATATTTACACACGAACGAACGGATACATATTTCTTCTTAGGGAGGACACGAGTTTTAGGGACAGGGCGCGTGGTTTTGAATCTCCGCCTCGAATGAGAGGGGCAACTTTTTCCCGGCTGCACGAGCCGGGCAAAACGAGTTTAACACGAGTCATCTGCAGTATGTATGTGCACGCAGAACTTCTTTCGCACCGTACTGTAAGCCAACCGCGCTATAAGCAGTGCCGAAGAGCATCGACATCGTCACCGTCGCAAAGATGTCATCGTCAAACGAGGCAAAACCCATCCCTGGCGTTAAACAATGCGGACTTACCTTAAACCGTGACGATTCAAAGTCAGCCGGCTCTCCGATCACGCGGAGAGGTTAAAGTCTGAAACGTCGACTGCTTTGCTCGCCAGCCTCTTAAAGTCGGGGGGTGACGGCCCCCCACCCTCCACCTTCCCATCCGTTCCTCCGCCCCCTCTCCGCCCGTGTGTCTCTCAACTATTGGGTGCCGCGGTGGCTTGGAGACGTTATCTCGCTCGCTGGGCACGCAAGAAAGCGTGGGTTCGATTCCGATCCTGACGCCTGCTGCTGTATATTTGGAGTTTGCGTGTCACTCTCTCATCATCATCATCACGGTGGCTAGGAGATGTTAACTACCTCGTCTGGTATACAGGAAGTCGTGGGTTCGATTCCGACCCTGACGCCTGCTGCTGTATATTTGGAGTTTACGTGTCTCTCTCTCTCATCATCATCATCACGGTGGCTAGGATATGTTAACTATCTCGCCTGATATACAGGAGGTCGTGGGTTCGACCCCGATCCTGACGACGCCTGCTGTATATTTGGAGTTTGCGTGTCTCTCTCTCTCATCATCATCACGGTGGCTAGGAGATGTTAACTAACTCGCCTGGTATACAGGAGGTCGTGGGTTCGATTCCGATCCTGACGACGCCTGCTGTATATTTGGAGTTTACGTGTCTCTCTCTCTCATCATCATCATCACGGTGGCTAGGAGATGTTAACTACCTCGCCTGGTTTACAGGAGGTCGTGGGTTCGATTCCGACCCTGACGACGCCTGCTGCTGTATATTTGGAGTTTGCGTGTCTCTCTCTCATCATCATCATCATCACGGTGGCTAGGATATGTTAACTACCTGGCCTGGTATACAGGAGGTCGTGGGTTCGATCCCGATCCTGACGACGCCTGCTGTATATTTGGAGTTTGCGTGTCTCCCTCATGATCATCACGGTGGCTAGGAAATGTTAACTACCTCGCCTGGTATACAGGAGATCGTGGGTTCGATCCCGATCCTGACGACGCTTGCTGTATATTTGGATTTTGCGTGTCTTTCTCTCTCATCATCATCATCACGGTGGCTAGGAGATGTTAACTACCTCGCCTGGTATACAGGAGGTCGTGGGTTCGATTCCGACCCTGACGACGCTTGCTGTATATTTGGAGTTTGCGTGTCTCTCTCTCTCATCATCATCATCACGGTGGTCGTGTGAATTTGTCTCGGGGTCCTTCGGTTTAACGTTCCACATTTCAAAATCAACATCACGCGTTTTAGAGTATCTGGTGGCTACAAATTTCCGCATGATAAGCCACTTCGCCGTGCTATCATCTGTGGCCAGGTCGCTTCTGATAAAGAGCTGTACAGCTCAGTGTGCCTTACATCGTTTTCGTTTACAGTTTAGTTTTATCCGAGCTCGCTAACAGCACTTGCCCCAACAGTCTGTTAGGGCTATCAGGGGTTACGTATCTTTGGTTGCGTGACGCTGCTGAATATTTGGAGTTTGCGAGTTTCCCAATCTCTCCTCGTGGTTGCGTAGATTTTTCTCTGGGTCCTCCGGTTTCTGTCCCCTCCTTTCCATATTTATGAAAAACGTGCGTCTGGAGCAGTGTTCTTCACTCATTTTCAGAGGGGTGGGTGACATATTCTTGGTTTCGATTTAAAGCTTCCGTGACTGCAGGGATTCATCTTCTTGGTTCTTTCGGTAAAGTCACGTAGAAGGGAAACAATAAAATAATAAAAATAAAACACAATAAAATAATTCTCATTATTTTATTATGTTTAATAATTCTCATTATTTTATTATGTTTTATTTTCATTATTTTATTATTTCGCTTCCACGTGACTTTTACCGAAAGAACCAAG